GACATCATTTGGGAGAAGACACTTGAGCTTTTGGAGCCGTTCACCAATTTCCCTTTGGATTGTGAGTCAATCTTAGACCTTATCAATTTTCTCTAACTGTAATCATTTTTCTGTCATGAACTTTTATGTTGATATAAAGCAACTTGTCAGATAATGTTCGGTCACATGAGATCTTTGTTCTGGACCCAATAGACATTTATTTTCGATCTACTACTTGTACGGGGAATCAATTACTAGTCGGTCTCAGAATAGCAGTTTGGAATGAGTGCAATAGGATGTGGGTCTTTAAATGAGACACGCAACATGTTCGTTTCCTAAGAAAAATATTGTACTAATACACCATTTAAAGAGGTGAGAGGGAAGAATATCTCAAATGGGGTTGCTTCTTTTTGCACCAGGTGTGCTTCTTCAGACAATTCTTTGGATCAGTCACGAAGGTTGATTACAAGGCACTGAGACATGGTTTTATCATGGTAAACGTCACCCCGGCAAATTCAATAGTTCCTTTTGTGACAGTTAAAAGTGAGTTTCAACTATGATGATCTGTATTGCAGGCGCATTTAGCACCCGAAAATGGAACCAGGTTTGACTTCCAGGAGTACATTCGCAGGTCACTCGAAGAAGATTTCAAAGTGGTTGTTGGGATAAGGTTCATTCTTTCGACCCCACCAAAGTTGATCACCATTATATCATATCCGATTGATAATGCAACTAAAAACTCTAACCTTGTATTCACAGTCCTACTATATGGTTCGCTGCAGTGTTGCTCCTGCTGTCTAATACACATGGTAAGTTCAGCTTTGAACATATGACCAATTGCTACAAGAAAATTTCTGCTAAAGATGATATTAGCATCATACCATAGAAGAGTACTTTATCAGCAAGTTCACCAATCAGCTAAAATGGATCTCAGTGGTCATATAAGGTCCAATGTGTCGTTGGGAAAGCAATAGACAGACAGACTCACATAGTACAACCACAAATCTAACCATCGAGCAATGGTCTTAATATTTCAAAGAACTTTTCATAAGACAGCTTTAGCATAAAGACATGAAATCTGTCTCTACTTTTGGCTAAGATGCAAGGAAAAGCTTTTTCTTCTATATTGGTATTGGTAATTTTAAATTTACAGTAGAGTTCCTACAGTTACCTTTTGATGACTAAAGATCGTTCTTTTCTCTATAACTACAGGGTGGTACTCCTACCTGTGGTTGCCATTCATTTCTTTGATAGTAAGTACTAATAGATGACGTATTTTACTTCATCCATTTAAGTTGGTTCGCAAGTTCTTAGTAAATACATGACACAATATTGACCAATATAAATTGACTTTTGCAGATAATACTGATGGTAGGAACCAAGCTAGAAGTTATTATCACAAAAATGGGACTAAGAATTAAAGAGAGAGGGGATGTGGTTATGGGTACACCGCTGGTTCAGCCAGGCGACGAGCTTTTCTGGTTTGGAAGGCCGCGCTTCCTCCTCTTTTTGATTCACTTTGTCCTGTTTCAGGTACTTTTCTTCATCTTGTTACTTTCAAGCATCAGTTTTCGTGAAGAACAAGTTTAGTGCACACCATTTGTCTTCGAAAATTAGAAAAAAAAAAAAAAAAAAAAAAAAAAAAAAAAGGGGCACAGAATAAGGTCCTTGGAGTGTCCTCTAAGACTAGAACAGAGACTATGTAGATATATGAAATCAAAATAGACATAGTGAGGACTGTGATAGAAAAGTAGAAAATGGAGAACAGCTTTCGGTAAACTTTGCATACAAAAACTAGAAAACTTCTTTACAACTGAAAGCATCCTACAACGAAGGTTTATGGCATTAGCAAGTGAAGCATGCTTTTTCAGACAATATTCTCACTGATTGTACTCTGAAGTACAGGAAAATCCTTTATAATATCATCAGATCGCATTTTATGCTTACATGTTATTCTCGTCATTTTATCTGCAGAATGCTTTTCAACTAGCTTTCTTCGCCTGGAGCACGGTGAGTATTTAAGTTCAGCGAGCACTTTCCCCTAGTTTAACCTTCACATAATCGCTGAACATACTTTTCTATAGACGGAAGGACATTCTTGGTTTTATTTGGGAAGGACACAATGTCTAAATAGCCTTTTGATGCCTTCTAGTTTGGACATCCGGCGCATGCTACTGAAAATAACCTAATAAAAGCTCCAATGATTAAAATATCGCCTAGTGATACTTGTCTAAGATCTCAGCTAACTTCCAAATTGTATCTACACGTCATGCAATTAAAATAGTTTTGCTAATTATTCCGCTAACTCTACTTTCAGTGGCAATTCAAAATGCGGAATTGCTTCCACCAAAAACTCGAAGACATCATCATCAGAATTGCAATGGGGTGAGTCTCAATCAATCAAGACACAGATGGGGTTCTGAAATGCAGCAACTAATGAAGATTTAAAATGCCACCGATCCATCCAGCCCTATTTACTGGATGATCAAATTTCATTGTGAATGTCTGTTTCCACCAAAATGTCCTCCAAACAAGCTTCTAACATAAAGCATATTCCTCATTTCTCCAGGATCATTATACAGATATTGTGCAGTTATGTAACTTTGCCACTCTACGCCTTAGTGACCCAGGTTAGTACTTGTGGCTTCTCGATCATATCACTCTAATAATGCAGGTGTGTCACAGTAGTGATTTTTTTTCCTTCAAAATAAGGACTCCTATTTGATGAATATGGAAAAACATCTCTTCTGTTTTGCAGATGGGATCCACCATGAAACCCACCATCTTCCATGATCGAGTGGCAACAGCACTAAAGCACTGGCACCATGGGGCGAGGAAGCATGTCAAGCACGGCCAACACTCGAATACCCCAACACCCTCTGCAAGCGCGCCAGCAACTCCAGAGCATGGCTCGTCACCGATCCATCTCCTGCACCACTACCAACAGAGGAGCCTCGATGGTGCTCACACTTCTCCGAGGAAATCCAACGCCGAAAACCAGCAGTGGGCAGTTTTAGGCTTGCAATCCCCACAGAACCAAGAAGTTGATGATGTGCCCTGGAGCAGGCATTTGGATACCACAGGACAAGAGGGATTGACCCAGAAACCAAACTCGACAAGTAATCAACATGAAATCGACATAACACTATCTGATTTCTCATTTCAGAAGCAATCTTAGTGGTGTTGATTGATAGTTAGCTGCAATGCATCTTCCTTAGAGGTTTGTACACAACTACACATGAGAGCTACTGTAGAAGAATGTTCAAACAATAGGCCAGGTGGATATGGCCACGGTTAATCATTCTGTAAGAATACATGGATTATGTATATGTAGTTCCTATACTGATTCTGTCAAGGAAAAATTACGTGCGTTTTTGGGAGCATTCTTCTGTTATTTGGTGCTTCTTCACTTGTATAAGAAAACTCGACTCCTTCAGCAAAGGATAGAAAACAGGACCGTAAAATAGAATGCTTTGTGGCTTTCGTATTACCATTCATTATATCTATGTATAGATCAATCAAAGTACAAACAATGCAGAGATGAGAAGTTTCTCAACCAAAAGCCTGGGAAAACATGAGCAATTTGCGGTGCCATCGAGATAATGGTCCAAGGTAGCAATGCAATCGTAATGTAACATGTCTTTGAGGCAGTTACCTGACATTCAGATGGTCACAAGTAATCAACCATTCCACATGGCATCCCTTCGTGATTCTTCTGCCATGCGTGCCTCAACCAACCTCTCTGCCGCAAGCATTTCTTTCAATGCCTGACGTCCTCAATCTCTGAATAGTACTTGCCCGACCAACAATTCAGGAACTCAGATAGAATCGGTGTTAATAATTTTCCATTTAGACAAACAAAAGTTACTGTATGCACTGATAGTGGGTTCATCCATGGATGCAATCTGTCAGTTTGCTGTGACGGTTGAATGCATGTAGTATATGCCTTGCTTCTTCAGTTGGAAGAATACACTGTTGTGGAAAGACATATCTGCAAGCTTTAGTAAAGTCCACACAGTCACATAAATAATGTACTCTGAGTACATTTTTACTCAAACCGCCAGAGACATTCCTATGCAAACCAGGTATTGGTATAGATTTTGCCATTCTGCAGAGACATTTAAAAATACCTGTGTGCATACCCATATACTACTAACCACCTCGTTAAACAATTCGCCGACATAAAGCATGTGCAGCTAGCTAAGCGAGCAGTGACTCTCTTCATCAGATGTTCATTTCAGGCTATTGCAAATAGAAAATACGATGAAATACATTAAAAAACACTCAGAAGCTTCGCGCCAGAATCCAGCAAAGCACCAAACAGGGCAAGAATCGCTGTTCTGCATCAACGATTACTTAAGAGAAGCTTCTGAGCAAGAAGATGAGTGAAATCAAAGTATATGGCAGGAACCAGCGGGAGATAACGATAGAAGCGGGAAATGTTCGTACGATAAAGTGTCTGGCGACAAGCGCCGCTGCGAGGCCCTTGCATAGCCTCGAGAATGGGCCAAAAAAGCTATCTTCCTCAGATCACTGTCAATCAACCATGAATACGCACTGAAGATACTGCAAAATGATCCAATTCGAGGGGAGAGCGAGAGCGAGGACTTAGGACTAGAGAGTAGGAGAGTCCATCAATCGCAGGATTTTGGCAGCATATTGCAGAGAGTGATGCATCGGTGGAGTTTAACTTGACTCTAGTTCATTTAGTTCAATGCTCAAAGCAGAAGTGCTGATCAAACTTAGATAAAGAACCTATGTCGACCATTGGGTCTTGTGAACGAATAATGATCACTGGGTCTATCGTTACTCCCCTCTTTTGACAGTCATAGGGCCAAAAAGCGCGAAGAAGCTAGTTTTGAGCTCTCCGTCAAAATCAAAAGGTTATTTTGAGAGAAAACACATAAATCTATGGCAATTTTGAATCTTAAAAAGCCCATACGTTTGAAAATTTGGGCGTTCAGCAATAATTAAACCATGATACATACTTTAAATGGTAACGAGTAATGCCCAAAGTCAAATGCGAAACCCGCATGATTGATTTTGACATAATGGTTCTACATTTTACACTTAGCAATTTTTCCGATGCTCAAACTTCTTTTACGACTTAATTACAATGTCTCAGCCTCAGAGTCAAAGGTAATTATATCCAAAATGAGCATCCCAAGAGGATATATCATATTTCTGGTCTACTACACATGTACCCTACTCTGTACATAATTCACCTTACTCTACACACATTCACAAATCTTAGCATCCTTCATGCAAGATTGACCAGCCTTCATCCTGATCACTTCCCGGCTCCCACTATAAAATGCAACTGAGGTTTGGGTCGAGTGATAGGTAAATAACCAATAGCTCTATATAGATAACTCGAGAGCAATAAGAAGCTGCATGTCAGTCAGGCTTTTAGATGATGCTCGCCCTCACCATCTGTACTACCAAGAATCCTGGGAAATCTGCCCCGCACTTGGTGGCCACTTATCCCGATGTTACCAGTTACGAATCTCATGTGCTGATTGCGAATTGCTTGGGAGCAAATGACATGGGGCCCAGATAGGCTTCAGAGAGATTCACCACCACCCGATGACAAGCCAAAGCCGTAGCTGTCATGAAGATAACCAATGAAGACCAGCAGAATCTCAGCATCAGCACTGGATCACTTTGTGCAGAGCGAAGTGCCTTCGAGAAGATGACTCTGAGCCGTCTATCTCTAAAGATGGACTGATAATCGTAGATGGACGTGGAACATCCGGAAGAAGGACCTAGTTCATAGTCGCTTGTCCCACTTGCCAACTTCACTTGGGAGTTGTATTGAGCTTCTCGAGTGCTGCTTCCAATAGCTCCAAGCATCCACTGGTATAGTATGTCCGCAATTATCCCACACAGTTGCTGCCGGAAGAATCCTCCCTCCTTTGAAACGATTGCTCCGATCAAAGAAGCTCCATCCTGCTTGCATAATGCATATAATGAGGGTAAGTACCTAAAATGCTATCTGCATATAAAATTGTCTGGAGGCAATGCCATTAGTGATTCCCATAAACCATCATCTGCTCTACATCAATTTATGCTTGTTACTAGCATTAATCCAAGTATATATTTCAAAGCCATCAGATGCAGATGAAGCATCATGCATATCTCTAACCACTGAAAAACTGATGCAAAACACCCTAAAGGAAGACACAGAAAGGTCTAGCTCAGATGCACTTACTGCAGTCATTAAGAGTCTTCTAAGCACAATGCCCTGTTTAGAGGGCAGAAGTCTTAAGACCAAATTCGCAACATCAAAAGCACTGGCGGTTCTGTTTGGGATAATATCAAGTGAAGCGTCATCATTTAACGCTCTTACACCTTGCATGCTTTTTCTGCAGAGAAACATGACTAACATAAGTAACTCAGTTAAGGTTTGTAAATTATTCCAAAAGGGCGTTAGAAGTCATATAATGAGGAAGATTGACCAAGGTATTCTCATGTCTTGTGAATATTTTAACAATGCACAAACTTCAAATCATTTTCTGAAGGTAAGAAAACTCTCAGACAACAGATGATGTTGAACACGTAATGACAAAACTATTAATCCCCTCTTCGAAAATCAGCGAAGGATGCGCGAGAGAAAAAACACAATCAGTCTGTGAGAGAGATTGAATACCTAGTAACCCCTACTTTTAAAAATAAAGAGAGCCTTTCCCACCGGAACTCCTTTTTCTTGGTGAAAACCACCTGGTCAATAAGTAAAATGTCATCAGAAGAAGTAACATTGCTCATACAGAAACCAGCAGAAACACTTGATCTCAATGTTCCGAAAGCTATTTCTTCAATGATAATTAAGCATTTACAACAAAAACTTCTAAAATACTTGTCACCAGCAACAAAAAATCTCAAAGTAAAGATGGGCCTCTAGACCCAGAAAGTCACATCAGAGAAGTTACTTTCAGATCCATAATTGTTCATCATGAGTATCAAGTACATTATGTATGACAATGCAGAATGTGGCAGCGCATTATAGGACTTGAGGAGAAGGTGCTTTTTTTTTGGAGAATTTTCCTACCGAATGAAGAATTTTCCTTGTTGCTGCTGTATTTTCAGTCAAGAGTTTCCTGACAACAAATGGATATGCAGCCTGAAAAGTCTTGAAATTTGGATCAGCTGCTACTGCCAAACCTGAAAGAACATGTGGGAGAAGAGACATAAATAGAAACAAGTTTGTCTTCTTTGGAAATATGTTAAGGACAATTTTAAGATCCAAAGCTTTCACAGTTCATAATTTAATAGGTAAAGTCTTCCAGCAATCTCTAATGTAATCCTTACTGCCTCTTAAGAGGAGATCTAACCAATAACCAGTAGAGTACTCTTTTATACTCTTAAGTATCTTTTACCAAATATTTGTATCCATCTGGTTTCTACTGAAGACATGATAAAAGCTCCAAAAGGACATAATATAGTCAATTTAGGACTTTGCAGGGAATAATGATGTTACAATAGGGATGATCCTGCGTAATAACCATACAGTCTTCTTTACTTATCGAAATCATATTCAGTGAAAACTTAGTAAAATTTTGCATTTATTAAATAGATATTCCGGTAATCATCATGAAAATCAAGAAATACTGTGGATGCATATTGATCATTCAAAATGTCTTATTGCAAAATCAAATAATCTCAGACTAGTAAACTTTGAGTACCCCATACATGTTCATTTTGTTTTGGTCTAAACTTTGAGAGAAACTTGATCAGATAGCTCAATCCGATAATGCTTTTAACGTAAAAGTGCATCCTAAAATGCCTCTTCTCTTCGGTGCTGGTTCTATAAAGCAATTTTAACTTTCTGTTCGTTTTCAATGTTGCTGGTGAGAAATAATCATTACACTCCCTCCAAAGCGGGACACTTTTCAGTATGGTAAATGGCCTATACTTAATTTATATTATGGTTTTCTTCAGTTCAGTGTGACACATGAAAAATCCAGTTGATATTATATAGCCAATTACATAAAGAGACACTCTAATGAGAAGAGCCCAACTTTTACCTTCCAAAGATGCAAGAGAACGTAGGACCAAAGTGTAGTATGGTGGCATGCGGAAATGGTACTTGAGGGCAATGGACCATATATTTCCAAGAACCTTAAAAGATTAAGTCAGTTTAGTAACTAAAAGTAAAAGGAAGACCTTGTTTAATATGCGTACACTGATTGGAAGTCAACCGCACTGAATATAACACTACTATACACTAGGCTCCTGGCTACACAGAATTGACCAACAATAAATAAAATAAAATAAAAAAGGTCAGAATGTCCTTACACGACTGAACTTGACATCAGGAATCCCATCTCTAAACTCCACTTCTCCCAACGCATCTTCCAAATCCTGAATGATCATGCATCAACATCGGAATCATCAAAGCATTCTCAGAATTGCCCAATTTGGGTTTATTTCTTCCGAGGCTTCTGACACAATGCTACAAATACTGTCATACAGTTTCATGGACCATTTCTTGATCTCCCAGCATAAGTACAGCAAAGATGATGACAAGAAAGATGATGACAAGAAGAGCTCTATACCATGGTAACACGCCGTAGATTAGTTCCTGGCCTTACGACATCCATTTCAGTCAATGCCTGAATAAGGGATGCCCAGTCCCCATTTACTATGTGTACTATGGAGGCAAGCATTGCGAGTTGATGTCTCCTTTCCATTTGACAAACCAAACCAAAATCTAGAAACCTGACACACAATCACCAGTAGATATGGCACAATATTACTGTTATAACTAGGTTTGAACTGCACAACCATGATTATATCTAATGTTTAGAACAAGATAGAGTACCCTATTTGTCCTGTTGATGTGTAGCGCAAGTTACCAGGATGTGGATCTGCATGCAGCAATCCTGTTTCGAGGAGCTGAACTAATGTTGACTCGACCCCTTTGCTAACCTGAAATGTGCTATGAAGAAGTAACTATCACCATTTGCTTGAGAAATGGAGCAAATTTAAAACTTATGATGATGCATTTGAGCCTTTAAGGAAGGTGTGGCCACCTGTTTTTGAATTAAAAGACTGCTAAACTGCATAGTCTAGCACTTGAAAGCAGAAAAAAAATGGCCTACAAGTAATTATTTACAATCTCAACTTACCAGATCAAGAAGGCGCCTCTTCGCGTCAAATATTTGCTTCTCAGAGTAAGCATAGCCACCAACCATAGTATTTGAAGTAGAAACTTCAAGTAGGTCAGTTGGGCTCTCACCAACCATCCATTCCATTGTCAAAACCCTCTTCCGAGTAAGATGTTCCAATACTTTTGGAACACGCATAAAAGTGAAGTGGGAATGAGTTTCCTGTATTACAACCAGGAGTCACTAAGAAGCAAGAGCATTTACACAACTTCTAACTGGCAGAGAGCAAATTAGTGTCAGTCACACTGCAAAAATAAGGGCCTACAAATAACAACCAGTCATTTTGCTAAAATAAGGGCTAGTTATTGACATTTTGCTAGCTCCTCTGTGCTTCTCTAGATAGCATAAGTTATTGAAACTTTCTCATGCAAAAAGCATGTTGATTGTCCAAGTTAAGATGAAGTGCACTCAGTCACTGAGCACGGTCTAAAAGTTCAGATAAATGAACAAATTTACATCAAAGGTGCAACATAGAATAAAGACTGGTGAGTTATAGCGGTGGTTAAATTTGACAAGTATTATGAACTCCAAATAAGAATTCGATAAGTGAAAATGAAAAGAAAAATACAAGATATAACTGGTACCAAAAATTTTGTAGCATTTGATGCTTCTAGGGTGTAATCCAATTCTCCCACTAAACCTTTCCCAAGCTCATCGGCATACAGTCGGAGGTCACTTTTTCTCTTAGCTATCTTTTGCACTAGCCCCAGCTGAAAAGTTCAAACAAATTAATTAATTACAAATCTAAAAAGAAAATAACACAGAAAGAAGAAATAGCTTGTTTCTAACCCCTAGACGGAGAATATAGATATCCCGCACAACCACATGTCGCAAATTAGGACGTTGAACTTTTATAGCCACATCAAGTCCATCAAGAGTCTTTCCACGATAGACCTGTACTGAATGCCAGTTTCCACACAATGGAAGTTTATATGTGATAGCTACAATAGGACAATATAAAACGCCAAACACTGCAATTGTGACATGTTGATTTACTAATGATGGATCATTGGCAATGAACTACAATCTAGTGCAGATGCACCTGACCAAATGACGCAGCAGCAACAGGATCCTCAGAAATGTAACTGAAGACTGATTGGGCAGGAGAGCCAAACTCTTCCTCGATGATTTGCATGGCCACAGTCCTGGGAAAAGGAGGTATCTGATCATGCAGCTCAGACAGTGCCTGCATCATAGCTTAATTGGAAGAAAATGAACATTCCTGAATACTTTAGAACTGCATGCTGTTTTATGAATGTACAGTCCAAAAGAATACTGCTTTACATACAAACTAATTTCATCTAAGGGACTTTTTTTCCTGACTGAAGATCGAGTTACCAATCCCCTGCTCATAAGAATATATGGGATGATTTGGGTAAGATCAAACTCGACCAAGTCATCTTGAAGATATATGCACAAGCAGTAAGAAGATGAATGACACAAAATGTAAAACAGGATCAGCTTGAAGCTACCAAACAATATTTCAGATTATAATCAAGCCTCTTTATATTACAGAGGCCTTCAGCTAACCTTTGAAATTCCAGAACCGATAATATCTGGCCTCGTGGAAAGTGACTGTCCAACTGCATCAGCAAGCAAAGGGACGTAACTAGCAAATTGGCAATCTTGTGACTGCATGGCAAAATAAAATGCCCAGTATATGATTCTAAAAGCATTATGAGTAGCAAGAAATGTCATTCAGCTAGCATATTTGAGAGCGGAGTGTGAGACACTCGCGCTTAGAGTTGAACTATATGCTCAAATACAATCTCAGAAGAATTTACCTTTGATGAAAGTGGGCCCCAGATTTAACATTGTTTCTTTCAATGCCAACCCAAAATCGTACTGGGAAATGTTGCCATTAGTGTCCTTATCTGAATTCAATCTTAAGAAACTGCCAATTCCTGATGCTCGAATTTTGACAGTGGCAGATGCAAAGGAGAAGAAGACCTATGTTTGTAGCATAAGCAAGTTAATATTGTCATACAAAGAATTTCTGAACCAAAAAGGAAGAATCCCGTCCAACATGCAGGTGACCAGTGAAACAAGGACCCAATCCAGCATGGTACTCCCACCAGAATGTTAATTGAATATGAGGAACTTAGCTACCTACCTCAAGGAGGCGAAGGGCCACAAGATGAGGTCTGCAACTGAAATAATAAGCGACATCTTCTGCATTATAGACTTCAGGAAGTGGCTTTGACCAGACCCTTGATAGACAGTAAAAATAAGCAATATATGCCTCCAAAGCTCTGAGATCAGCCATGACCAAGTCCAACCCAGAGAGTTCTGTCAAACATGACATTAATCGATGTTAATTGAGGACTGAGACAGTGTAAAACAATGCCCTGATCTTTCATGTGCGGTCAGTGCTCTCCCTGTTCCCCACTCCAGCCATCACGAGTAACGAAAGGGAGAAAGTCAGGTCCTCATTGGAGCATCCCAGTCCCAGTTCTCGCTAATTGACTATTGGCGCCAAACTATGGAACAAGACAGCGACAGAATATGAGCCTAAAAGAGCGAACTTTAAACCAGACGTCTTTGTTATTGTTAACACGCCTACGGTAAAAGAAACCCTTCCGGGTGATATTTAGCCACACTGAGGCCGATGAATTTGGAGATTTTAAACAAGAGCAGGTTCTACAAGTGTTCCCTCGAGTGGTCTTTGAAAAAGGAAAATGCACTCTAATTAGCAAGCAAGCAACATGCACTCTAATCAGCAAACAAAGCAAGCAAAATGCGCTCTAATCGAAGAACACTCCATGTAAAGACGAGCGAACACCAAATTCAGGAAAACGTCACCCGGATAGCAAGGTCGAGGCCAAGGCCTATCCTCGACGGGAGGAGCGTCAGGACTCTCCAAAACCCTAAGCCACAGCACATCGTCGAGGGTTTTGGCGAACAACGGGATGCGGAACGCCTCATTCGCCCACTCGATGCCTCTGCCGATCCTCTTCTTCAGGAAGCTCGCGTCCTTCTTGATCGCGCCGGCGAAATGGCTGAAGTCCCCGAACGCTCGGACTCGGTTCCGGTTCGTCCCGGCCGCCGCCGCCGCGGGCGCGCGAGAGCTGGAGCGGAGCGCGGCTATAGGCACGGAGGGCGGCGGCCGCAGCGGCGACAGGGCGACCGCCGTCGTCGCCATCTGGTGGGCGGTGGCCGGGTACGAGTACGACCGATTCGCGATGCTGCGGACGCGCTGTGACGACTCACCGGTCGGCGAAACGGGAAGAGATATTGCGATGGCGAACACGAACGAGCTTTGCTGAGCTCTTTCTGTGGCTCCGATGAGCCAGAGAAGCGAGTGGACTGGAAAGCAGAGAGGGGGTGGAAATGGATTCGCTGTTCTCGGCATACGCTGGTCTCGCCACGTGTAAGGATGCTATTGGATCCCGAGCGGTCCGGGGCGAGGATCTCTCCTCTCCCGCCGGTTTGCATGTTTCTTCGATGAACTCGTGACACGTGGCAGTGGTGGCTTTGTTTCGCTCGATTAACTGCCCGCGCGTTTTGGCGGTGGCGGGAGGGAGAGGTAACGTCGTTGAGGGTTAAAAATTTGAATGTTTCCTGGTCGTTGGATGGTAATGTTCGGATATTACCGCTCTTGTTAACGAGTGCCCCTGCGCTTTGTCAAGTATATTTGGATAAGACGATGTTTTGATTTTCAATGCGACTGATTGAAAATAACACGAGCAAGGTAGTCTATTTAAAATTACGTTCACACCCTTAAATGGGTATTTAATAAGTGCTCCGATGATGCCCGTTAAAAGTTCCAAATATTACTAATTATAAGAAACCATTCTCTTTGAGAGAAAGTAGGACGGGTGCTTGCAAACTGACCTATTTGTTTCAGAAAAAATAAACGATTTGAAAAATATTCTCTTAAAATGATCGCCTCTGTCACTTGTAAATATGGATAAGCGAAAAATATTTTCATCGTCCACGAGAATGTTTAGACATGAATTGTTATCCATAATAAAAATATTTTTTATTTACTACTAATTTCAAGCCAAATAAGCGATCGTTTTAAGAAAAATATTTTTTAAATCATTCGTTCTTCGCAAAACAAATGGATGGTGTATTTATTTCAGGGAAAACTTCATGATAAAGGAAAATTCTTTTTGAGAAATAGTTTTTCTAGAAAAAATGTTCCCCTTTTCAGATTAGGGAATTCGTTTTCTTAACTTTAAGTATGCATATTTTGTTTAACCGTAAATAATTTTCTGTCGACTTATCATTTTCTTTCACGTGTTTGTTTCGTTGAAAATGATTTAGTTAACAGAAAAAAAAATTTACAATGAAAATGCCCACACTAAAATTAAGAAAATGTATTTTCAATTATGGATAGAGGAGATCTGATTCCAAACATGACAAGTCTCTTACTACAAACAAACACTCGGTAACTTTTTCACCTTCTTCGTGTTTTCTTCACCGGCACTCAGTTGCTTCAACATTTTCGATTACACTTTTCAACATACCGTCAAACAAATGAAATCTAACCATTTCCTTGAAAATAAATTCCGCGGAAAGCATATTTCTATATCATGAACTTTTCCGCCGAGCAAACACGGTCTTAAATGGATGCTACAAAGTTTCACAATTTTGAATGAGTTGAGACAATAGAGTTTGGTTGTATATGAAATATCTAAATCATGACATATCTCATAAATCGGATTAGAAATCAACAATATATACACACCATCTCTCTTGCACATTGCAGCGGTATATCGTGCAATATAAAGAATCACGCATCCATGGAAACAAGCTTGAATGTCAATTTGAGCTATTTGGCTATTCACAATTGCGGTTTTGAGACTAAAGTTCTAGAGAGATTAGTTCATTTTGGTCGGTTGCGAATGCGGCAATGCCGCAAGAAGAAAGGTGGGGAAAGGAAGACTTAAACTTCTGCATTAAAAAACGACTAAGGTTCTATCCAATGGATCATCGGCCCCGACTTGGTGTGCATTTGCTTTTAGCAGGAACAAAAGGATAATCAAGGCCATCATACTTTTCCGAGATCGACCATCCTAGCCCGATTGGATCGTGGGATCGAAGTCAAGGTCGCGGCATCGATTGTTCCAGTGTTTTAGAAACTGAACTGAGTGGACAACATCTGTTGGGTACTAAACAGTCAACCATAAGATAAAGAATTTTTCCTAGATGTTTGCTGAAACCAAAGTGATATTTCGCTGGCGAAATTTTTGAGAGCTGTAAAAGATGCGACTTCGTTTCTATGCAAATGTTTTACCCAATGTGCTAAAAAAAAGTGTTCCCCTTTTGAGTGCTAATGAGGTTGAGGATTGTAATCTAATTGAGTGGATTTGAGTTTATGCCGGTGCTCTTGGTAATCTAGATGTTGCACGCTTTATGATTTGAGTCTATGCCGGTGCACTGTATACGATGTACACTTTTCATGTAAAAATAATAGGGTTAATACCACGAAAAACCCCAAATTAGTACACTTGTGACAATTTTACCCAAAACTAATTTTTTGACCATGAAAAACCTCAAACCGGTACACTTGTGATAAATTTACCCAAAACTAATTTTTTGACCACTAAAAACCCCAAACTGATACATTTGTGACAAATTTACCCTCCGTTAGTTTCTATTAAATTGAATTAATACCACAAAAAATCATAAACTGGTACGCCTGTGACAAACGGAGGGTAAAACATAAAATTGGTACATTCGTCAATTGTCGCTTGTCATTTAACAAAACAATTTGATAGTAAAATTTAATGGAAATAAACTGAGGGTAAATTTGTCACATGTGTACAAGTTTAGGATTTTTTATGATCAAAAAATTAATTTTGGGTAAAATTATCATAAACGTATCAGTTTGAGGTTTTTCGCAGTATTAATCCAAAATAATAACCATGATCATGAGCATGATGTCCCGCGTGTCAGCCCACGCTAGACCAAGCCAAGTGGGCCGACGAGCATTTTTGTACGGACGGGAGCAATGTTATTTTTGTTAAAAAATCCGAAGTATGACATTTCTTTTATTAAATAGGATGATTTGTGGTAACTTTTAATTGTTAAGGCGTCGACCCATCTTCCATTACCTCTAGAAACTATTTACATATATCTATTCTGTGTGCATGTGTAAAGGAGCAACCATTTATTCTTCTTTCTCGCTGTACATATGTCTATCTATCAAGGATGCTGGAACTATTAAGACTCACATGCTAATGAGTTTACTAAAAGATGTGGCGCATATTTTAGTAGTAAACCGATTAACCGTACAAGTCTTAGCATCTCTAGTAGTACTCTTTATATATTTGACGAAACCTATGGTACAAGATACATTATTCCGAATAAATTTTCCTTTAAAAAAGATGATCTCACTTTTAGGGTCAAATATCCTTGATTGACATTTGGTGGTATTTACAATCCAAATTCGTCATTCTAAGGCTCCGTTTATTTCGGAAAAATGAATGATTTGTAAAATATTTTCCTAAAAATAATCGCTTGTAACACCTGAAATAATTAGTCAATCGAAAATGGTTGCATTATCGACAAAAATTTATGTCTAAATATTTTCGTAGATAATGAAAATATTTTTCGTTCATTTATTTTTGTAAACGATACAAATTATTTTTTTTACGAAATGTTCTTCAAATTATTCATTTCCGCTAAACAAAAGGAGCCTAAATCTAAATTACTTTATCAATGTTGACTTTACTTGAAGTGATGAAAAGGCACACTAAATATTCTAAGGGTTTTATTGACGAGAGCCTCCTCATCAGCATTCGTAACAAAGAAAAGTTTTGATTTTCAGTACACCAATTACACACAACACGAGAGAAATAATGCATTGGAAATCACAAACTTTTTGTATATTTGTATTTTTTTTTTTGGTCGCTATATTCGTATTTAACAAGTTCCATGGATCTTGTTAAGAAAATCAACATCGGAGTGGACTGAAATAGCATAATGAAAACTTGATGGAGACATACATGAGACCCTCGAATCACAATGGCTATTTCAATGAAGAAAGATGTCTATTTCCTTTTTTCTTACTAGAAGAGAAAAATAGTTCGATATATCTATGTATGTGTGGGTGAGCTTCTCGTGTAGGAGACCAGACATTCTGCGCACGCGATCGCGCACATAGCTTTGAAGGGAAGGAGGTCGGTTTTGCCTTGCTACGTGATATTTGCCCAAAAACTAGGGTTTCCACATAAGTTATTAGTGTTTAATTCAACATGTACAAGAAATCATTAATCCCACAGCTTTAACTTTTGACATTTAGGCTGTGTTTAGTAGTCTGAATTTTTAGTCAGGATATAGTTAGATATGGTAGCATATGAAATTCAGGGATTTTGCTATATCCTATCCATTGTTTAGTGAATTGCAATAATAAAGTCGGATATTTTCATATTTTATCATGTTTGTTATTTGGGAGGAATTGCATATCAATATAAATGATAAAATTTCCTTATATGTTGTTCACAAAAAAAAATATGGTAGTCAGGATATAGTTAGATATGGTAGCATATGAAATTCAGGGATTTTGCTATATCCTATCCATTGTTTAGTGAATCGCAATAATAAAATCGGATATTTTTATATTTTATCCTGTTCGTTATTTGGTATTTTATCCTGTTCGTTATTTGGGAGGAATTGCATATCAATATAAATGATAAAATTTCCTTATATGTTGTTCACAAAAAAAAATACCGCTTACCTCCAAATCCAATAGAGAGGAAGGAAAAACAACTCCGAAATCTAATTAGATTAGAAAATTTGCATATAAATTGTTGTGGAAGTAAGAGATTGAACGGAAAGATAGACACAAGGAAATAGATTGAACACTAGATTTACATGATTTGTCAAGGTAACCTATGTTCACGGGAGAGCAGTAAAAAATTTCACTGTAAATCAAGCGATACAACAAAAATTATAACCATGCTCGAGTCACTCAAACTCTTAGTATTTTATAACTCTCAATTACACCCAATAATTCATACAGTGTTTAACCCCATATTTTCTCACAAAAAAAATTTTCAATCTCACAAAAAAATTAACGAATCTTACCATAAGATTAATTGGCCTAAACACTAATTCTTCTTGAATGTAATTCATGGGTAAACCAATCGTGGATGTTACACCATCAACATCTGCTCGCAGGTGAAACCTCAACTTCAGCGGCAAAACAAGGCATGAAGATCCACTTGTGCGTGTGTATGTGTGTATGTGAGAAGATCTCTCGCCGAATTCAAATGAAAATTGATTTCCATATCTTTTATTTATTTTTCTTTCTCTGACACAAGTGGCAACAAGTCCACACTTTCCTTTGGAAGTTTTCTTTTCACGATCAAAGTCCAACTGTGGACTCCAATGTGAAAATTTCATAGCTGACTCAATCGCCGAAGCAAATTCCGAATCTTACACAACTTTTATGCTTAGACACAATTCAATTTAGATCGAGTTTATTCAATGGGCTTAAACTCGAGATATATTTTAACATAAATTTTAAAAAAAAAGTTATTGAATGTAAGAAAGGCTTTTTCATCGGAGAAAAATAGATTTGAAAATATATTCCTCCCTCTTTAAACATCGTTCATAACATCAACAAAATTGAGCAAGACAGAGAGAGAAGATTGTATCGGTTGCACTGCTAATTTCATGGTTGATAATTTATTATCTTTTGGGGCTATGAGTAGGTGTCATTTGGAGCTTTAGAATGGTTGTTGTAGGATGGGCTGTCGTTAATGGGAGGTTTATTTTTTATTTTTTGTAAACTCATTTGATGTTGTGTCTTTTTTGTTTTTTTTTCCTTGTAAACAACAAATGAGCTCGTTACATCATTTCAGAGCCATAGTATTGGCTATGATAAGAAATGTAAATGAGTTACAACAATATTAACGAGATGGATCGACTGGAGAATGCCAGATCTAGTTAAAGAGAGAAAGTATGATCTTCATTCTCGGTATTATGAAAAGTATAGTGTTTCGACTCTCTTGCCGCATTTGTAAAGTTTTGATGTGAACCAAAGAGCTACAGATGAGGAGGAGCTTCAACTCTCTTGTTGTTTCTTCGACACGAATTAAAGAGCTAAGGAGGAGAAGGTACTTCCACTCTCTCGCCACTTATGTGAAATTTCGATGTCAACTAGAGAATTGCAGAGGAGCCGTGAAGCTTCAACATGAACCAAAACTACGGAGAAGAAGGAGAACGAGAGGATAGTTCTTTTCAGAAAATAGCTTTTATACCATGTACATAATAACTTCCTATTTACCTTTATTCCACCCCCACATGAATTATTTTCTCCAAGTTATATCCCTCTTATAACGAACATTCATCTTGTTTTGAACAACAACCAAATACAGGATATGATAAATTATCCCTGCTTTTATCCGGTCTGCCAAACGTAACTTTAGAGTACAAACATTCAAATCTCGATAAAAATCAATATAGAGCCTATCAAGAGCGACAGAGCTTTAGGCATAAGCCACCCCAAAATCACCAGGAGGAAGCCAGACAAAATTTTCCCCGTGTAAACGGACAAGAAACAGACGAATGATGGAACGTGCACGAACACTTTTCATGTGAAAGCTGCAAAGCGCATGGCATTATTACTTCGAACCGATCAGCATATCGATCCAACACACACAACTCCAAGGCAGAGCAAGCTTCATAAGCTCCCAAGATTGATGAATAAAAACTTGGTTTCATTCTGACTAGACCAGAAACCCTATCATGGTGTAATAATTTCTGCGCACGGATCATGAAAGACTCACTTTAAACCTCTCAGAATGGCTCAAGACTCTCTCTCTCTATCTCTCAACCAAAAAACCAAAAGAAAGAAACTCCTGGAATTCGAATATTGAAGAGGGTATATGACGGGTACTTTTTGCTACCTGTGAGTGTTCTTCCCTACAGAAGGATAAGGTAGAATAGGAAGGAATCTGCTTTCCTTAGACAACCCGAGTACAATCGAAAACAGCATCTCAATTGGGCTTTGGCATACTGTCATTAGGACCCCCACTCTAGCTCGTACTCCTCTTCTCCTCTCTCCTTTTCATCTTTTCTTCCTATTTGAATTCTGTACTTACTAAATTGGAAATCGAAAAAAAAATGAAGGGAAAAAAGAAAAGTAGAGAATTGACACATGAAATATCGTATTATCCGGTTGAGATGGGAGAGAGGTGTCCAAATGGGCGGAAGTGGTCCCCCACCAAAAAGACAGGAATAGAAAAAGGGAAAGAAAAAAGGAAAAATGGGGATCATAGTTCCTTTTCTTTAAGCCTGACCCCAGTGTCCTTTTTGACCTGACTTTGACCGTATAACATATTCCCTATGACCCAATCACAGAAAAGAGAGACAGGTGTGGTCCCCCTTTTTTGTGCAGCCCAAGATTCCCCAGTGCCTATCATCATCGTCATCCTCCTCTCCCCCCCTCCCTCTCTCTCTCTCTCTCTTGATATTTTTGGATTTTCTTCATCTTTTTTTTTCTTTTTTTTATTCTACTTTCTCCAGAATCCAATTCCTCTCTTTCCTTTCTCCCATCTAGCCTGACCAGATGGGTTCTTGTCTTGTGACTTGGGTCTGTGTCTACTTGTGTCTAGAGAGAGGGAGGGAAGGAGGGAGGGTTCATGTGCCCTAGAGGAGCCTCATCAGGATAACCCTAACTAGCTAAGTCCATCATTATGTTCTTTGCTTTTTGTCAATTTGTTGTCTAATTTGTCGAACCTTAAGAAAGGAGATGGGACTCTTCCTTTCTGTTTTTTCGCCCTTGGGGGTGAATAATGAAGCAAGAGATGGGACATTTTGAGCTTTCTTCTTGCTAACGATTTTCACAAAAGTACTACTGACTTCCGATTACTTTTTGGAACCGTCGTTATGAAATTCGAATAACTTGTCCGTCCTGTTCTGACTCTACGTCAGCAATAATCAGAATTCGATTCGTAGAAACCTAAACTTCTCAAGTGACCGATTCATTTGGTGATCACGTGACTAGCTATATACATGACCTCAAAACACATTGTCAAAAGCATATTTTGTAAATGCCACAAATCCAAACAGATATGGCCGCGTTTTGTCTCTAGAAAATCCAACACGAGTGTCCTTTGTCATACTAAAGGTGCCACAAAGCTTAAGTAAAATTGGAAATCAATCAAAAATTTCAAGATAGAAACGGAATTCTCCAAGTTCATAATGAAATTTTGAAAAGAAACCCTCGTAAGGTATAAATTTCTAAGTGTTAGTATTTGTACTTTGTACATGATAATGTCAAAGGATCCCGAGTCTTCCCGTGGTTATTAATCTTCTAATCCCACGTAAGAACGGGTAACTATCGTCTACCTAACCAGGTTATGGTTCTAAAGGATTTTGCTTAAAATTTGTTGTTAACTAAGAAATCACTACATTTATTGAAGCGAAACATGATATTTTCCTCCTCAATTGGATTCACTAGCTCAATTAGGCAACGTCCAACGCCCATATGATGATCAGCATGGCAATTTAATGATACAAAGATTAACAAACAAGTGCTAATAATGATGCTCCATCTCTCAGCTGATCATTGCAAAAGTAAAACCAAGCAAGTAACAAACGATATACAGGAACTCCCAGATGATAAGTTTGTATCACTTTGCCTCCTCGATGAGGCCAAAAATAGACTGGTGTGTTCTGTTTAATTATATAGTACACGTTTTCTTCTGCCAAGGGAAGGATGTTTTGGTTTGCTTCTTGTCCATGAGACAGTCTAAAGGCCCTGTCTCACGCATGCGATTTCGCTTTCCTTTGTTTCCTAGAGGGGGAAAATCGAGCAGCTGAGCATATACTAATGATTTTATAAATTAAATCCCAACTTGCATATCAGAGACCTGATTCTAAATTCATTTTCAAGCGCCAATTTGAGCTTAACACGAATATTCAATGACCGACGCATAAATGAAATAAATTTTGAGTTTGATTATAGCGAGTTGAGGTGTGGTGTGTTATGGCACATAAGATATAGCAATATTTAATAAGAAATCATCTGGAAAAACCATCTGAAGAGTGATTTCGGCATCTCCGATCAAGTCAAAGCATCACCCAAGTTCGATCTCAACCTCATCAATGGATAACATTCCAAACAAACTCAAGCCAGTTGCTTTGCCTCAAGGCCCTCAACATAATACATATTGCACAGCTTCTATTTGCAATTCGAATTACACAAAAACACCGAGTAGAATAGTAAAGAACATCGTTAGAGGTAGCATTCAATACACAAAACACTTTCCTAGCTTCTACCTAAAAAATTGTATTTCCTGTCGAGCTGATATTAGTATTAGAAGTATGAGCTGGTCCTTCAACAAAAGACAAAGCTTGATTTCATGATAATGGAACATCTAGGAGACAAGGCGTGAAGCATCAAATGGTTCTTTTGAGGAGAGAAATGATGGGGAGGGAGGTTTTCTAATGTGAGCTTTTGTAACTCCTATGTTGTCAGAAAAACGTTGCGATTTAAAAAGGAGCAACGGGAATTTTGGTTCTCCTGAGAGTTCCGAGAAGGGTATTCCTCGTTTCAAGCGTAACAGATCTTGGTTCATCATGGTCACTATTAATCCCGTCGCATATTCACGATTCGAGACTACTAATAAAAGGTAAGTAGTTCAAATCACAATCAAGAAATCTCCTGATTTAACTCTGTAAAATCGTAGAAGATCTATTACCTTTCTCAGAGACAAAGTGTCTGTTTCTGATCCCTGCAGAAATTGCAACTTCTCGCCATTGTTAAATTTGGCCTCAAGATGCCTCAAATGACCCGTGAAAAGAGTGCGATGTCAGTGCAATCCTATGCTCGATAAGTCATATCCGTGAAGGTATTGAGTTTGAACCACCATATGCTATAACCCTCCCCCGACTCCGGTTCCTCTCGGATACAAAGAAAGTGACAACTTTTTCGGACCTGCGAATAAAATTATGTACAGAAAAAAAGAACATACTGGGGAATTATATGCTTGGCTCCTCATACGCCATCCGCGGAGGCCATCGATTCTCCGATGCGCTCTCTGCACATGGCATACAGGGAGCCAGGCACATATGTACTCAAATATGTCCGCATAAACATTGTTTGTATGATCTCATGCAATTATGTAGAAAGGCCATGTTTCCTATGCAAATAATTCGTAATGTGGACTAAAAAATGAATTCAAGAATGTAACACAAGCGAAAAAGGAGAACGAAACGTCCGCAAACTGTATGCCTAACTGCAATGCCCTAGCTAGGGAGAGCTAAGCACTGAAACGACTCGGATGGAGCAAAAACTAGGGTTTCCAAGTAGAGGGTCTGCAGTAGCATGTTTCACTGAAGAAAAAGACTCGGAGATCTGAGGATTCGAGCTGACGGAAAACTGGGTCACACGATGATCAAACCAAAGGGTCCTTTTCCTTGTGGAGACTCATGAAAGGGAAGCCCTATTTAAATTGGCATGTGAAGGAGCAAAAGCCCAGAGAGGGGGGGGGGGGGGGGGGCAAAGAACAAGAGCTAACGTAATGGCCAGGAGAGGTTTGTGCTATTCTCTTGCCCTGGGGGATGAACATGAACCCTGTGTGTAGTTTTGAGAGGGAAAGCAGGAAGATGTGGGGTTGAAGTTGCACCCGAAGCTTGCCACTAAATATAGACAGCAGAGAGAGAGAGAGAGAGAGAGAGAGAGAGAGAGAGAGAGAGAGGGTCTTGGCTTAGGAAATTGCGTGGTCAGTAATCAAAACCCCACGCCTCATTTCTCTCCCCCTCTCTCTCTCTCTCTCTCTCTCTCTCTTCATCGTGTTTGAAATCTCCTTTTCTTGGGTCGTAAAGCAAAAGGTTTTGCTTTTTCTCTTCTGAAGCTCGCTTTGTCCGAAAGTGCTTGGAACACATGGATTCCCTCACGTCCCTACTCCCCCCCTCCTTTAAAGATTTTTTTCTTAGAATTCTACACGAAAAGCAAAAGAGATTGGAGATATTAAAAAAAAAAACATAATTATTATAACCCCCTACCCCCGCCTTTTTTCCTTGCCCTTTTCTTTCCACCATTTTCCCTCGCTTTATAGCTTTGCGGATTTCTTTTTATAAATTATCGCAGCGCACGCTAATGGTGAAGTAGTTCCTCCGCCCTTTTGGCCGTAGCGAATCCGATCGAATTTTGTCCATTTTTCCTTTTAGGCGCCTTAGAAAAATCCCAGCACAACTGATTCTGTGCCTACACAATCGACTTTGTCCATCGTCTTGCTCGATCCGTCGGCACAACTGTCGTGCCCACATACACTTGTATCCAGCTTTGATTTTTCCTTCTTTATAAAAGGATTTCCCACCATAAAAAAAATCAAACCATGCGCATATATAACACAGCGATGCGTTCGAGGACAAAAAGTTGGACATATTCTCGTCACTTAAATTGTTGTTGCTTACTTGTAGCGTACACTAAACACGTACGCATGGAAACATCCGCGCCGAATATCTTGATAAGCATCGAACCTTAATTGGTTTTCCAATGTTTAGGGTACGCGTGGGAAGAATGATCTCATAAATGTCAATAAATTGTTCCAAAGTTGATGGCATTTCAAGTACCCTTCTCTTAATTATAATGAGGGATATTGGTGATGTATTTAGGGTTTCCTTTGAAAGGAGTGTGCAAAGTAAAAGATTGAACATATGTAACATTAATCAAATTCTATATGCATAGGTTGCTATGCGCTCGAGACCAAATTCTTAGTTGCCAATTTTTTTTCCCACCATATGCTTTAAAATATAGTAAAAAATTCAAACTTATCAAACATTTTTTTACTTGTCTTTCACGTGGAGATGCAAAACACAATATGTCGCGGTTCATGTTGGAATTATCACGTGAACAATCGTTCTCAAGCATTTCCTTCTTCCGGAAACAAACCTCCATGTAAGTAACCGTCAATTTATGGAACTAGAAGAGGAAAAAGAAATGGACCATTTCGTTAAAATTGTAATTCACGCAACGCCTGCCTCAGAAGCAAGTTTCTCCACATTTTCCTCCCTTCTTCTTCTTCTTTTTATTTCCTTTCTTTCGATTTTATTTTGCGTCTCTTGCAAAAATCAATTTTTTCCACAGCGGACTATTGGAGCACAAAGACATGCCTCTGAGCATTCTGAACTCTGCTATATGGTTTCATCATCTCATGCTCATGCAGTGTCGCGATTCCCGTTTATAGCAGGACCAGATGCCCTTTTCAATTTTCATATTTTTCCAAACATTTACATGGTTTTCTTTACTCTGCAAATAAGCATAGGTTTTCGTAAGAGTATGGATCGAGCTGGCCAAGAGTATATATATTTCAGGGTTGATGTTATAAGTACAAATGTAATATTTGATCACTTCGTTCGGCGTATATTCTGCATTGATCTTGGATGAAATTCTTCATTTTTTTTTTGTTGTTTTTATCCTGAAGTAGATCGAAAGTGGGAGACGTTCTCGACAAATGGTCAAAATGGGTCCACGGGAAAGTGAACACCAAATCTTTTCTTGTTATTCGAGAGAGAGAAGAAAATATTAAAAATGAATACAATAAGATGGTGATCCAAAGTATAATGGCAAGTCTCGAAATATCATCCGAAAGATCAGGCTCGTATCGTCACTGCTTCAATCGTCTACTAATTAGGTGTAAAGCACATCTTTTTCTATATAATTTATGGACGGTAACCCAATCTATTGTAAGGGGGGTAGCTTCTTGATTGGAAGATTATCCCACACATCACAAAAAGAGAGAGATTAACTTGCCATTGAAGTTAAGCTGTCGAGGTCATGTTCTTTTGTGTGTGAACCAGCTAGCAAAGCAGCGATACTAATGAGGAGATATTCACGCGGAAAGTGTAAGGTTAATCGGGCTCGACGTCGTAGAAAAAACGAGTCTAATAATGTGATCTGCATACTTAACAGTAGCAGCTCTCGCAATATTCATGCAATTTCCAACTTGCAAACCGTGAATCTGGGGTGGGGCAAATAGCGTGGCATATCCACGGGGATCTTGTTTGAGATTTTTAGGTGTATTAATTGAAGATGGATTACGGTCCAATCCATATTTACCTTTTTTGTTGTAGGAGTAATCCACATGCACCAACTCAGCACAAAAACTAAAATCATTCGAGTAACCAATACATTTACCACCTAGATCTTGCTCTGTCTTTGTTTCGTCGGTATACTTTCAATTGTACGAATCATAGTATCGACATAATTGATGAACATCTATATCTGAAGCTGATTACTTCGACAGGGAGACAACTAAAATCCGGGAACTGTTGTATTTACATTGCTTTGTTCCCACCAGTTTCATTCACATGGGTGCTTGATAATCATTTTTCCGGTGGTATTATTATGTTGTCTGATGTGGCTCTCCATCCATAATTATGCTCTTGACTAATGGGGGAATTCTAATTATAGCCACTAAAGTTGCTTTTTAGTTCACCATTTGCCAGACACTGATTTGAAAGCATTAATTGTTCGGCTGAAGAGATTAATCTCAACTTATCTGCTTTCTTTCTTTTTTTTTCCTGGACTAACTGAAAAATGTCCAGACCACAACGATGCCATCTACAAAGTGCACATGATGAAGAACCAAATGCACCTAAATAGAGAATAGAGAGTCCTTTTTGAAAGTCAAAAGTGAGCAACCACCCACCAACCACTTTAAAGTGAAGAAAGATGGAAAAAGAGTCAATGGGATTGTTTTAGCAAACATGCACGATGCTTCAAGCATACAGTGGAAGTACAAGTAAAGCTTTTTAAAGTGGATTGGTTTCGATTTTAGACCTTAAATATGCTTTATTTAGTAGGGTTCGAGCAAAGTCCTCACCGAAAGTACCATGCATATTTCGGTGAAAACACACCATGCACAACAGCTAAGTATGTTAGAAACTACACCCTACTTAATAGGGTAAATTTTCTTAGACTTCTTCGAACATATTGCTTGAAAGAACATTTCTTAGATTCGATCGATAAGAGGACAATACTTATTTCCAATTCAGGCAAGAGCTATCTAGCTCTTGTCCTTCGTGCAATGATAATTTATTGGTCTGGTGATCATCACTTTTAACTAGTTCTAATAGTTGACATCGATGTAGTTTTAACTTTACAATAGTCAATCGCGATTTTTCGTGTAACAGAGGCAGGAGAGGTTCTGTCTGAATTGGCGGCAAATGTTTTTTAGTTTTTTGTAAATATTCATAGTTAACTCTATCTAGGACAACCTTACCAAAAAAAAAAAACTCTATCTAGGACAATACCGACTTAGGTTTTGGTGACATTGTGGAAATGAAAAACAAGAACCGCCATTGATTCCAAGTATAGAAATATGAATCTTGTCAACTAGTGTCCCCAGAGTACCGATAAAACATACTTGATATGAAGTATTCCGATTTTCAAAAAATTGATTAAACATGATTAAGAAAAATAGTATGGGGAAAATTGCAAAGTCACTTTAGATGGCTTGTTACGGGTGTCTAGGAGGCACTTTTCAACAAAATTCTAAAAATAACATAGGATAATGGAAAAAGTGAACCAAAGAAAGTGTCGGTAATGGTAATTAGCGAAGCTGGAAGATCCCATTTCGACAAATCGCACGACATTGAGAGATAGAGAGAGAGAGAGAGAGAGAGAGAGAGAGAGAGAGAGAGAGAGAGAGAATCCAGGTCGAGGATGGCAAAAGAAACAAAAAAACAAGAAGGCAAACAAAGAGAAAGAAATGAAGCGAAGAAAGAGTAAGGGAAGGGACAAGTGTGGGAATCTAATCTGGGTGTCAGGTTTCTCAGACACGCAGGTCTTTGGGTGTTTGCAGCCATTGCTTCTGTCTTCCTCCTCTTGCTGTTTGTATCTTGTATGCATGTGCCTCTCTCTCTCTCTCTCTCTCTCTCTCTCTCTCTCTCTCTCTCTCTCTCTCTCTCTCTCTCTCTCTCTCTCTCTCTAGAGTATATATATACTCATATTACAAACAGCTAATCTTAAGCAGAGGTTGAAACAAATCGGAACTCAAATTGGATTTTGATTGAAAACCATTTTGAAAAAGACACGACATCCACTTTTAGAATAGTTCTCCATGAATCTTTAAGGCGGTCTTAATGCCTCCATGAAAACGAAGTAAACCACATACTTGTTGGAATATTGGTTGTGCGACGAATTTGCATGTATGAATATATAAATATAAGCAATCTGATCATGTTCTGGTCATTGATTTGAGCTTTTACTCATGTCCATGAGGGTTAGAGAGTGATTTTATTGATTAGGGGTAAATATTCTTGTTAGATGAAAGGGGAAAAAAAGCATAGGATGTAGCTCATTTAGGCCTTGTTGATTAGGTTCGGATTGTTATAACTTTTCTATCTTCATTTTTCATTTAATTTGGTGATTAAAGTGGTCCGCGTGAAACGTGTCTGACAAACAATTTTTAAATAAAAATGAATGAGGTTGTTTGAATATTTAAAGTATATATAAACTGAAGAGACCTTTTGATATTTTCGTTGTCTCAAATGGAAATAAGAGAAAAAAGAAAATTTCTTTCTTATAACCATGGTGGAATATAAGTATATTTTGATTTCTAAAACGAGAACCTTCTTTTATAATTGTGGCGGAATAATGGTGTACATTTATACCTAAAATGGGTTTTTCCTTCCCACTTTTCAAATGTTATTAGGAAATCGAAAGTCGAAAAACTTTTCATCTTTCACGAAAAACAAAAACATGATGGTCTTGAGCTAATTATGACAAACCTTTTTATAATCAAAACGGAAACTTTAAAAGACATACAGGTAAGACACAGAACATACGTTGTTCTGACGCACCATTTATATCTTATTATATCAAGTTGTATCAAGAGACTTGGCGAGAATTTTTCCTCACATAAGTTAGGAAGCCATTAAAGGTGACTAAAGTTGGTAAATTAAAAAGCATAATCAAACATAAATGAGTAATTAAAATGAGAATCAGTAATCCAAAACTAGCTTGTGATTCGTAATCACTCTAATTTGAATCCTGATTTCACACAACAGTTAATAAATTTGAAGTATTGGTAAGTTATGCAATTAAAAGTCGATCAGTTAGTCCAACAACTGTAAATGGGAAAATTAAAAAAATTCATAAAGGGTTTGATAAGATACCAACAAATTACCTAGAAAAAAAGTTGCGGTTCATCTTTTTTACCAATAATTTTTTGACACTTACCGACACTCATTAAAATTTATTGACACGGATATGCATATAATATATTCTTGCTCGGAATAATGAAGCTCTGCATTGAAAGAAACTAATAATCTACAAAAGTGAGTTCGACTACTTACACCATTACAAGCAAT